ATCATGGTTAGAGACTCGGATTGAGGAATCTGAGAGGAGAGTTCGAATTCCAGTTAAATTCATTACATTCACTTATATTTTAATACCCTTGAGAAAGGTATGAATCCTTCACTACTCCCTCAGCTATGGGTAAAATAGCAGGACAAACTGTATCCTATAGACTTGAGTGGTAATCAGTCTGTGAAATTCAATCTATTTGTTGCCTCGTAGCTCTTGTCTCTTTAGACAAAAGCTACAAGAAGGTAACTTCAAAAATAAATCCCCCCATAACAACCCCGGGGCTCTTCTCTACCTTGAATGTTACTATGTCAATTATGAGATGGAGAGGGATGGGAAATGCGGCTGCATAAAATGCGTTACCTGAATTAAATAAAAAGAATATAATACGGCATTGTGTTTTTAAAGCCAAAACCATGGAATAGATTACACCTTTGAGTATAATACAAGGACGACCAAACAGCGGCGCGCAAGACAGGCTTTTTGACCTTTATTATGCGTATCATGGAAATATGTTGACTGAGCACATTTTTCATCACATCACTATATATAAAACTGAGGATATCTGTGTGTATGTCTGTGTGTTACCTTTTCACTCGTGATACCATCAAACCGATTTTGACAAAACATGACACATACATTACTTATATCATGACGAGCTCAACGATACCTCATTTTATTTCTACGCCACTGCGTTTAGCGAAATAAATCGATTTCAACACAGATTTTAAACTAAATACCTCTCAATTTTTAAACAATCTAATAAAACTTCACTCAATTGTAACCAACAATAAGATAATTTTTAAGTCATTTAACTTTAACTTGATAATTGAGACCATTCATGTCAGAAAAATCCGTAAATAGCCAAAAATGGCAATTTTTTGGTTTCTTTCTTATTTTTCGTTGATTTTTCAACCAATTTTCATAAAACTTAACAACTGCTTTATAAATGTATTCTCTTTTACATCCCTGGTAGCGTGCTGACAAATTGAATTTCAAAAACTCCAAAATAATTGTGGTCGGAAGTGGATCTTCATGTTGCCTGTTTTACTCCATCATGTCCTCGGCTAACTTCGATTGAATAAATACAGACTACTTCTGTTATATCAGTAACTGCATTAATTCGAAATGTATTTTTAATGAAAGTACTTTAAAGTAATTGAAGAAGATAGACTCTGTTACATCTAAACATGATGCTTTTTTTGTTCCATTCTAATTGAACGATTTTTCTAATCGACCAGCTGGATATGGCTGCTACTAATTAATAATAAAGGTTAATTCCAAAGCTTAATTACCATATTATATATATATATATATATATATATATATATATATATATATATATATATATATATATATATATATATATATATAGAGAGAGAGAGAGAGAGATATATATATATATATATATATATGTGCTCAAAATAGTTAAAAATAATTATCAGTGAAGGTTTTAAAATATTTGGTATATATATATATATATATATATATGTGTGTGTGTGTGTGTGTGTGTGTGTGTGTGTGTGTGTTCATTTTTGATTACTGAAACCAATACAAATTTACAGTTTAAAATCTGGGCACATGAATGAATATTATTGCATACATGCATTTCTTAATATCTATATGACAATCTTGTAGCAAAATGTGTAAGTAGCAAAAATGTATGTGTAAATTTTGTTCATGTGTTCTGGCTCTCAAACATGTGAGATTTATCATATTAATCAAGTTTGTTAATTCCTTAGTACAACCATATATATATATATATATATATATATATATATATATATATATATATATATATACTTGGGAGTTGTTGTAGTGTCTTTCCTCTAATGAGTCTATTATGGACTCTTTAACTGACTATAATGTAGTAGGAAAAATAAGACTAAGGGGAACGGCGCTCCAAGCTGTCCATTGCTGTCTCGGTGGAGATGAACCAGGACGAAGCGCAAAGTTTCATCCGGGAAGGTGGACAGGCCCTGAACCCGTTCATACGGGTTCGAAGGGATTATTTTTGGCCAAGACTACGGGCTCGGAGAACCCACGATAAGCTCGGCCTTGTGCTACATACGACCCACGAGGGAGGGAGCCGTTAAAAATAACGATGATATAGATCGTACATTACTGTCAAACTCTCTGCCTCGGCAGAGAGGAACGCGGACTAGGCTTTGCTGAAGGGCAAATTTTCGTCCGGGGAGGTATAGAAAGTCCCTGAACCCGTTTATACGAGTCCGAAGAGAATATTTTTGGCCTAGCCTACGGACTCGGAGAACCCACGATAAACTCGGCTTTGTGCCACATACGAACCACGTGTTGTGGGTGTTAAATATAACGGTGCCACAGTCCGTTCAGCTGCCAAACTCTCTGCTTCGGCAGAGAGGATCCTGGACGAAGCTTTCCCGAAGGGTAAAATTTCGTTCGGGGAGGTAGACAGGTACTGAACTCGTTTATCCGAGTCCGAAGGGAATATATTTGGCCTAGCATACGGACACGGAGAACCAACGATAAACTCGGCCTTGTGCCACATACGACCCACGTGTGGGAGGAAGTGTTAAATATAACGGTGATATAGACTGTTCTACTGAGGCTGTCGAACTCTCTGCTATGGCAGAGAGGAACCCGAACGAGGCTGTGCCGAAGGGCAGAGTTTCGTCTGGGAAGCTTGACAGACCCGAACCCGTTTATGCGGGTTCTACGGAGATTTCTTGACCAAGCCTACAGGCTCGGATGACCCATGTTAAACTCGGCCTTGTGTCACATATATCCGTGCTGTTAAACATTAACGGTGATAGACTGAACACTGGTCAACCGACACACACTCCCAAATCGTCTAACAAACTTCTGTTGTATGTACTGTTCAGTACAATATTTATCTACAACCTCTTGTTTTTTTTTATCTCTTAACTATATACTTGGTCACAAAGGGAGTAAAAAATATTAGCTCAAACGCCAAGAGTGGATATTTTACCATTCTGCTACCAGTTTTCTATCAATGTGAATTTTTGTGAAATTCTGAGCAAAAAAAGGATCACAGAACCTCGATATTTTTAGATCTTCTCATTGTTCATTTAATATTAAAATCATGTTCTCAACTACGTCCGAATAACATCAACCTAGTTCCTGACCTGACAAAAATACATTTTCCGCCAAAAATCAGAAATGCTTTTCGGAGCCTGTCACGTAATTAAAAAAACATATAAATAGAATGTACAAGTGAACTTCGCCAGTGAGAATTTACGTATGACTAGCATTTGATAAACTCGTTCACGGTACTTGTATCATTATTGTAGTGGAATACAATTTTAGAATTTTAAATTCATCAACTTGAAATAACTTTATTGCAATTCATGTTAAAACATTCAACTAAACCACTCTCTCACCAACTTTTTTCTGGAACTTACTAAAACTATTCAATCACACTATTGAATATTACGAAAACTTAATTACGAACATTACAGAACATTACAAGCATCAACATATTACGAATATTCAACTAAAAGCAATGGAAACTAATTAAACATTACGGAACATTCACTCCTTCAACTCTTCTGAAGCCAAAAGTTTATCAACATATTCTCAGCTTTACAGAATTCTTTCAATTTTCTCATAGTGAACATTATGAGCGGCAGGTTCATTCAGCTTTCTATGAGTTCAGATAAAAATATTTCCTTAGTAAAGACTTTAATTCCAATTAAAGGGAAGTAACTCCCATTAATTATTCAAGTATATCATTGACATCAATAAAATATAAATATTGTTCTTGTTATTAAAATAGTTTTTTTTTAGTGTTGTTTCTCTTGTTGCTTTTCATTTGCTTACACATTTATAAAGAAAAAAATGTACGGATTGATTTAGGCCTTCAATACCGCTACAATTTCCCCACAAGCAGTACGTCTCCTTCAGGAAGGGGGCTGAGGTCATTATCCGCTGCCTGAGGAGTACCCCTAAAAAGGGAAGTTTCGAGCATAGTTTAGTAATTTTTCTACGGTATTACCGATAAACCCACATTAAATATACTCCGTCGTATAGCTATTCATTTATTTAAGTTGTGCCATCCATTCAAATTTTAATGTCGTACATATATTTCACTAAAATATTTAATCGTTCCCAATATAAAAGAACAGAAAGAAACCGGATGTTCAGCCATTAAGAGTTTCTTTTAATTTCCGTTTCAAAACTTATTTACGACTTTTCGAAAAAAAGTGCTAACTCAACATACTCGCATTTTAAGATGTTAATTAATGTATCATATTTTTCTATTGGCTAGGACATTTTTATATTAATTAACTATGAACATAGAATAAAAATTTCTTACATTAAGAATGAAGAGAGTAACAAATATTGCAAACATATCAAATACAAAACAATTGTTACCAATTCCTGCCAACTTTACAACTGAGTGTATTTGCAATCTTTCTCTATGAAATATGAGGATTTTTAAGTTCAGTAAAAATGTCGGAAAATGTGTACTTGTGTATAATACTCCCACTTTTTGCGTTCAAATTTCTCGTATTATTTACCAGAAAATACGGCCCATTTTTTTTAAACGATGTGTAAGTATATATTGCATTTTACTTTTCGGTGTACATTATCGATAAAAATAAACTCATCAAAATTAATGCTTCTCTCATATCAAAGAATCATCTTTTAAAATATATTCCACTATTTGGACAATGGGCACTAAAAGATAAGTAAATTACGTTCTTAATGTCCCAGATCTTTCCACATATAACAGAAGATGCAATATTCTATTAGGATATAGCAACTTGCCATATATAGGATGCAACAAAGATATTTCTTCTTGATGAAGACATTGAATTGTTACAGTAAATTGCAAGCCAAAACTGTCACTTTAATTTTATTAATGTTCCCAAGTTTTTCAGTTATATTCGAATTTAAGAAAGTGTTCGAGCAAAGATTCCAATTAAACTATTAAAGGAATAGCCGAAACCGTTTTTCTATTGAAAAAGATTTTGAAATCCTTATCTGTTGAGAAGCATTGACTAAAAGACAGAAGGAAGGAAGGAAGGAAGGAAGGAAGGAAGGAAGGAAGGAAGGAAGGAAGGAAGAAGAAAATTGAGGGGAAATGAATGCATGAAAGAAAAGAGAGAGAAGAATCGGAAGAAGATGAACAAAGAAAGAAAGAAAGAAAGAAAGAAAGAAAGAAAGAAAGAAGGAAACAAACAAACAAACAAAAAAAATGCCGGTGAGTAAAAAAAGAAAGAAACCAAATAAGACGATAAAAAATAGAAAACAGATGAACAAATATTTAAAGGAAAATTATTTAAAAATACAACAAAAATGAATTTGAGAAAAGAAAGAAGGGAAAAAAACACTGAAAGAAATCATTGGCACAAAAATGAAGGAAAGAAAAAGAAAGAGAATATTAGAAAAAGATGAGCGAAAAATACGAAAGAAAGAAAATATGTGATATGAAAGAAAAAAAATGAAGAAAAGTTAGTGACAAAAAGTAAATGTACGAATAAAAGAAAATGAACATTATTTTCTTTAAAGGCGCCTTTTAATAAAACCTTTTGCATCGTGTTTGTCAACATCAAAGGCGCATATTTTATCTCACCATTTCCCAGATTTAACAACGAATGATTTCGAACCATCCCCACGCCGACCCTAGATGCAAGATTCGCTATTCGATCTGCCACTAATAACCCAGTGGGGAGGACATATTTTAATATGAAGAGATAATTTAAAGTATGTCTTATCAGTTAACATATAGAATATTTGATCAGTATACTCGAAAGATTCCAGCCTTTCGGAACGACGAGAATAGTTAAGTCTTTAGAAAATTATAGGAATCAGATGATAATTTCCTTTAATATTTTTTTATTTTATTTTTTTTAAATAAATTTTCGAAAATTGTCGTTTGCCTTTGACGACTTTTAATTGATTTTTAAAGGAATATCTTAAAGGTCCGCTTTTTCATGCAACGAGCATTTTTCATCAAATCTTATTGATACTGAATGAAAATAAAGAATTTATCATCTCTTTTAAGGTAATATTTTAAACACCGAGGATGCTTAAGTATTCAGACAATTGCAGGAATTATAATTAATGATGACTTTTAACTTTAATAATTTTTCTACCGTACAGAACAGAATTCGTTATGAGTTAGGAAGAATATAGGCGTTAGTGTAATAGGAAGAAAGGAAAATGAAGATACGATAGGAGACAATCATGAAAAGAAGAAGAAGAAGAAGAAGAAGAAGAAGAAGAAGAAGAAGAAAGTACAATATACGCGGAGAGAAGCGGTTGATGCAATGGGAAAAAGAAAGAAAGAAAAAGAGAAGATAGGATGTTGTAAAGGAGTTGAAGAAAGGAAAATGAAGATACGATAGGAGACAATCATGAGAAGAAGAAGAAGAAGAAGAAGAAGAAGAAGAAGAAAGTACAATATACGCGGAGAGAAGCGGTTGATGCAATGGGAAAAAGAAAGAAAGAAAAAGAGAAGATAGGATGTTGTAAAGGAGTTGAAGAAGCAAAAGAAGAAAAGGAGGAGAGTGAGGAAGAAGCAGAAGAAGAAATAGAGGAGAGTGAGGGAGAAGAAGAAGAAGAAGAAGAAGAAGAAAAAGAAGAAGAAGAAGAAGAAAGCAAATTGATTCGTTTTCTAGGCTTATCTGCCATTTGCAGGTTATTTAAAACCAGGAAATATTTTTAGATTGTAAGAATTTTTTAGAGATAATAACGGTTTATTGTTACAATCCTTACTAATGATACCATAACTGGATGGAAAGGTAGATTCCTAAAGAAAGAAAGAAAGAAAGAAAGAAAGAAAGAAAGAAAGAATAGTAACCTCATTACTGTATTGGTTTTCGTGAATTGTTAATTTGAAAAGCAAATTGCCAAAATATTTTTGAGAATAATGGTAATGCCATTGAAGATAAATGAAACAATAGAGAATATTTCTCATCCATGACATGAGACTAAAATATTTTATTTCTTTTTCAGTTCCTTCTATTTACTTCTTGATTTCAACCAGAATTCCTTCGACTCTCAAATTAGCTTGCTAATAGGGCAGTAATATCAGTATATCTGTATCTTTACTGATAATAAATCTTTTCTTCTATTTTCATGTTTATTCATCGCCTACTGAATATGCATGAGCTTATGAATATTCATGATGTCCCCTGTTATTATTTTTATCATTTGCATCATTATTCTTCATTTTCATAAGTTGTTTAAAGTAAAATTGTTTCGCGTTACTTCTTTGAAGCATTTCTCTTTTTTCTTTAAGAAACTAGTCGAAAATAAAAAGTAACAGAGGACGTAGATCATAAACCGCCATCGATTATTTAACCGGAAGTTTAGCGATCAAACCAGCGCCATTTTGGATACAAAGCGGTTGCGCGCTATTCAAATCACTGTTTGAATATTTTCTTTTTTTGTCTTCTTTTTCTTTTTCTTCTTCATTATCATCATCATCATCATCATCCTCCTCCTCATCATCATCATCTATGAATTTGGCAATAATAACGAGAAAAATAAAATTAGAATAAAATACAAAAATCTGTAAAAAAAATAAACGAAACCAAATTTTAGTAGTAGCAGCAGCAGCAGTAGTAGTAGTAGTAGTAGTAGAAAAAGAAGAAGAAGAACAACAACAATAATGTTTTATGTACCGTGTCCGTTCAGGACGTAGACGATCATGGCTCTCCCCCTGTCCCTTGTAGCTCTCGTCCCTTTGCTACTTCCCCCCAGAGCACGTTCTGTCAATCTACTTGCTTAAGCCAGCCAGGTATGTCATGCGTTGCTTTCCCTTGTCTCTCTTTCCCTCTATCCGACCTGTGAGTATCAGATTCTCCAAGCCTTTCTTTCTCATTACGTGTCCCAGCAATTTCAGCTGCCCCTTCCTAAAGTTTAGAAGTATAAGTTTTCCCCCTTGTTTGCATCCTCTCCAAAACTTCATCATTGCTCATACGCTCGGTTCATGATATTCTTAAGAAGTGGAGAAAAAAAAGTTATAAGTAAACCTGTTCATGTAGAAAAAAAAAGAATGTTAAAGACTATAATTTAAGGAGATTAAAGTATAAAATAGAAGAAAATGACAACAAAAAAAAAAAGAATTTATTGGCAAAGATGATTATAAGTTAAAAGAATGATCCTACTTTCATTTTGTTTGTTCCTTAGTTCCAGAATTAGAGAGCACGTTTGTTACTCCCCTCGGAAACCAAATAAATAATAGACTATTCCGTTTTGATCATGAGACTAAAGGAAAAACATATATCAGAATCGTTTTTGATTTCAGTGAGATAAAGAAAAAGAGATAGAAGTGATAACGCGCTCATATATTTAACGTCTGCTTCTGTGAAATAGAAAATCTTGTACGTGTTAAATCTTTTCATTTATACCCGCTTACTTTTTAAAATAATGGCCGGCATTTACATTTACTGGTAGTATCATAGGGAATTTTACGCATTTACTATTCGAATTTTCTGATGAAGCATTATTCTTAATTTAATGATTGAATAAGCGCCTTGTGAGTTCTTTAAATAAACTATACCTCAATAATTTTCTTGTCTATCTCTTCTTTTGTCAAAGGTTGAACATCGTAGGGTGGTGGTCGAAAGATACTTGGTTCTTAAAACGTCTCCATACCATTTAAACTATACGGAGTTAAGCAATGTCCAGCCTGTTCAGAAATTAGATGTGTGACAATTTGGACAATAAAAGATGCTGTAAGCTTGGATTTGCCGGTGGAATATGGACAATGGTTCGTAATTGATAATCAGAAAGCCGAGTTCCATTTTTTGTTGGTGAGTTATATATACTTACACGCAAATAACCATGAGAAAGGTAGAAATCCAATTCATTTACCTCCCCCTAGCTATGGGTTAATTATTAATACTTGTATCTAAAAAAAATTGCGTATAAAATATTTAAACTTCGGTATTAATTATTCATCAAACAAAATCAACCAACTATTTCAACTTTTCTCTCATTTTTTTTTTTCCGACATTAAACTTCCCACCATTTCTGTTTTATTTTTTTCATCTTCTTCAACAGGCTGGCGAATTCTTCTTCATTATCAACTAAACCATCTAGGTTGTCTGCTAAACGAAGTATTCTCATGCTAACTGTCTCCCCTGTGTTCCTCATAGGCAATTTTTCTTCCATGGACGCATTACGAGTGACACCCTTGAGCTTGCTACTAAAACATTTAGAAATTATGACTTTAAATGATGATAAAGAGAATAAACGATGCTAAAGTCCTAATTAAAAACAATACTTGGACGATATAACTGATGCATGATCATATTAGACACACACAGAGTAAAGCCCAATTAAGAAAAATGGTTTCCGTGTGCTTCAGCATCTACTGGTTAAATCAGTACATTTCAAAATATTAAGTTGAGTCTTAAATAATTTCCACTTGTATATATCTAATTTATTCTTCAAAGTAAGAAGTGCAATTACATTTTGCGCAATCTTATAGAGCGGATTGTTTGCAGTGACCTTTCGTCATTTATCAGGCAGCATTTGGATACCTTTTCTGTAAAATTCAGGTTCTCATGTGGAAAACGTCTTTGACGTACTCCTGAATCTGCCTTTCGGTAAAGGTTTTCCCCATCAAAAACGTTTTGCAGAAACCGAAAAAAAAGGTAATAGTCTTGTGAGGAACGAGAAGACTCCCCCCCCCCCGCGCAAATCGAGTTTGCTTGGCGTGTCAGGTCCTGTTGAAAGATCGCGACAGGCATTAAAAGAGAAATGGATTATTCCGAAATTCCCATATTGCGGGCAGACGTACAAAGGAAGAAATAAAAATAAAAAAGACTAAGATTTCAAACCAGCTTGAATTTATAAAACTGGAAGTCTCGGGCGAACGAGAATTAAGTCTCGTATGCAAATTTTAGTTACCCCCGACACGGGCATAAATAACGAGTCTAAGAGGAAGATGGCAGAAATGCATTGTTGGCGTATGTACTAACGAGACTGAGAGGTCACTAGAAACAGCTCAGTTGGTAGACCTAAGGACTGGACGAAACAAGAACTTTAGTTATCGCAAACGACGAGCGAACTGAATTACCCACAAGTCTATTGGTCAAAGGTCAGATTAATATGGCGATTTGGATAGAAAAGGCAACCAAGTTCATTATTTTTTTTAATCCTGTGACCCGTAGTGTCGTAAAGGCAACATGTGTACTGCAGTCGCTGTAGAAGCGGTGTTTCTTGGGGAAGATGGCCTGGCGATTTTGAATTCAGAGTTTTCAGGAATTTTCCAGACGGTTTTGAATTCACAGTTTTTCTTCTTCTAAACCGGTTCCTAAACCCAGTCCGTCCTGCTACTTACCCATAGGTTAGAATAGGGAAGAAGAGGATCCATATCTCACACAAGCACGTAAGAGAATTTAATAGACCCGACTGGAATTCGAACTCAGTTCTCCGATTCTTCAATCCGAGCCGCTATCCATTACTCCGCCGTGTCACCCCTAGAAAAAGCCTACCAATTTAATTTCTGTAGCAGCCTTCCTATGTCATAAAGTAGGAAAACATCTGTTTCTACTGACGAGAGCAGCGCATGGTGGTACTACCACCAAACGTTTGTGGAAACATAACTTTGCTGTGTGGTACCGCGACGTGGTGTAATGGTTAGCAAGCTTGTCTCACTAGGTCAATTATGACTGAATAGCGAGTTCGATCCTCACTGGGTGTACCATACTTTCGGCCTTGTGCCACATCTAATCTACGCTTGGAAAATCAATATTGAGCACTTCGGCGTGGTGTCACGGTTAGCAAGCTTGTCTCCTTAGAATGATTACGACTGATTAGAGAGTTCGATCCTCGCTGGGTGCCCCCTACTTTCGGCCTTGTGCCACATCTAAGCGACGCATGGAAAATCACTTGGGCACCTTGAGCACTTAACTACGGTGATCGTATGTGAACTGATGTTTCAACGTGATGGGATCATAAACCTCCTTTAGAAAGACATAGACATAAAGGCCGGAGAGTACAACGGCCGAAACGTTGGGAATATGGCAATAAAGATGAGGATAACAGTCCGAATAATGTAAATAATTTATTTTTTGTCTAATAGTAAAATCTTTTGCTCGTTGTTACAGTGCCAGAGAATTTCTCGACTGAAGACAACGGCGTTGATTTCCAGCAATTAAATTAACGTTTATGATTCCATGACCAAGGTGTGCCTTTATGTCAAAGAACCTTGACTATGGTCTTGTGAGGTATGGTCCCGACCCAGTTGCCCACTGATATTTATTCCTTTATTCTTGCTATCTTTTTTTTACTACATTCTTGTAGTTACTTTTCTGTGTTTGCTATCAACCCTGAACCATCTACATGTCTTATGCTGTTAAGACAGTAACCGCCAATAATGATTCCTGTTGTTCTAACAGGAATCATTATTGGCGGTTACCTCACTGTATAGATTAAATAAATCCGGGAAGAAGGGACATTATTGTCTTACACCCATTTCTGTTTTTGTAGATATTCATTTCCTATCCGTATGAAGGCGATTTGTGTCAGTATATGTTTTGGATCGTTCTAATATCCTTCCCAAATATGTTAAGGTTATTTTTCAGTTTTAACATTTTTTGTGTGATTTATTTTATCATAGGCTTTCGTATGATCGATGAAACAAAAGCACATATCCTTCTGCATTTGTATTGTTCTTTGTGATATCAATTTGAGCCCAAAGGGAGCGTTTCGTATTCCATCTTCTTTAACGAGTTCGTGCTGTTTTTTAATCACCCTTTTTACAATAGCGTCCTTATGATTTTTGGTAGCTGGCACGACCGATCCTTACATAGAACTTTCGCCTACACAGGTTACGCTTACTTGCCGATTATAGCTGGTCTTGATGAGAATTCTATCTTTGCCGATTGCTCTCTTTGTCTCTGGGTCGTTCTTGTTCGACCATATTTTGAACAAAGACTTTTGACGCCAGAATTAAATTTTTTTTCATATTTTTCCAGTTTTGCAGCTGGATATTACTATTTTTTACAGTCTTTTTCAGTAGTTCACCTATTTATATAATGCTAAAAATCTGTGAATCGTGTATACGTCGGGCGCATAATGATGTACGTTTCTTTCCACCTCTCCCCACTTCTCTTTTACACCTCTCCTTCATCTCACCTGTTTCTCTTTCCACCTCTCTCTCTCTTTCCACTCTTTCTTTTTCAACCTCTCTCTATTTCCACCTCTCTCTCTCTTTCCACCACTCTCTCTTTCAACATCTCTCTTTCCATCTCTCTCTTTCTACCTCTACCTCTTTCCATCTCTCCCTCTTTCCACCACCCGTTCTTTCTATTTCTCTCTCTTTCCATCTGTCTGTTTCCACCTACCCCTTTCTACCTCTCCCTCTTTCCACTTCTTGCTCTTTCCTTTTCTCTTTCTCTTAACACCTTTCTCTCTCCACCTCTCTTTCTTTCCATCTCTCTCTCTATCCATCTCTCGATTTCTACCTGGTCTTTCCACCTCTCACTCTTTCCAGCACTTGCTCTATCTACCCCTCTCTCTCTTTCCATATCTCTCTTTCCATCTCTCTCTTTCCACCTCTCCTTCTTTCCACCTCTCGCTCTTTCCATCTCTCTCTCTCTCTCTCCACCTCTCTGTGATTGCGTACGTGCTTATTTATATTTCAGCTTTCTTTAAACAAACAATATTTTAAATATTTAAAAATTATTTTTTGGCATATTTACAAAAATATTTTGAAGTGAATATAATTTGAAAATATTTTTTGGCATATTAAAAAATATTTTTAAGTTAATCCGATTTTAAAAAAATATTTTAAGTGAATAAGATTTAAAAGATTCGTCTTGTTTATACAGTATTTTTATCTCAACTTTCTTCAAACAAACAATGATTTTAACTACGAAATCAATGTATTACAATCTGAACCGTCTTTGGCGCAAGAGGTCACGTGTAGTCTAGTCTATATATAAAATTATGTGACTTCCGATAGTCCGTCCATTCGTCCGTCACACCTTCTAAAATAGCCATACACTGACCGATCCAAATACGTAAAGGAGTACAACACATAGTAAGTTTTACGAGAGTGCGTTGCTTAGAACAATGAATTTTCAATAATTCTTAAAAAAATTAAAAGTTCTCTTATTTAACATACTCCCACTATTTTAAAAGAATTTAATGATTAAAATAACAAATGATTATTTACTAAAAATGCAGCACTGTTTTTGCATATTATTTTTATGCACAAGAATTCTGTTTTAAAATTCACCCTGTGTTTGCAAGAACTATAAACAAATCACAAGGCCAAACGTTTCAAAAAGTTGGCATTTCGCTCCAGAAAGAAATATTTACGCATAGCCAGTTGTATGTTGCATGCTCAAGAGTAAGAAACCATAAGAATTTATTCTTCGCTGTTACAAAGAAAAAAGGGTAAACAAGAAAAATTATTTACCATGAAGTCCTATAAAACTAAAATTACAGAAATTATTAAACCGCAAAGTAGGGTTTTTGTCAAAGAAAGTTCCAAACAAATCACCTTATTCAAATTTCATCGACTGGATGCGAAATTGAACGAAACGTAGCTGAATATTCTGAGCGATAACTTCAATAGTACTAAATACCGTGAGGATTTGAACACACGTCAGCGTGTTGCAAAAAATCTAGCTGTAAATAATTTGTTCGAGGGGATTGTCGTGCAGAGATCATGGCCTGTCTATTAAAAGTGGTGTCTGTGATGATGACTTCAGTGCTTATCGCTTGAGATTTCTCAAAAACTACTTATATATATATATCTAGAAAATAAAAATAAAAATGTATTTTCTGGCGTGTACTGTAGAGTTAATAAAACACATTACGACTGAATCTTACTAGACAATAAATCATTCTCGTCCTCCTCTGACCGACGACAGCTTTGTCTGGTTAAGGGCGAAATGTTTTCGACCAGACAGAGAACAAAATATTGTCAATTTCGACGACGTTTTTCTATTATTCTTTTAAAAGGAAAAAAAATTATAGCGGAATTTTTCTTTAGTTTCTTTTGTTCCCCTTTGTATAATATATTTATTCAAAAATAATCAATCACTAAATGATACTTACAATAATAACTTCTGAGAAATATTTAATATATATATATATATATATATATATATATATATATATATATATATATATGTGTGTGTGTGTGTGTGTGTGTGTGTGTGTAAACGTAAAAGACAATAGGAACAATGCAATATTAGTTGACGCATTTCGTTTAATGTGGACTTTTTCAAGGCAAAGACGAAATGGATCTATTAAAACAAAGTAACTATTAATAACAAAACAAAATTTCCTCAGTGAGGAAATATTTTAAATACTGAATTTTCAGTTGACAATATGAATATAATAGCGTTTTCTAAATTCTTCCAGTTGTTAAGTACATTTTGTTTTGTCGACTAATAATACAGTTATCCTATTGTCTTTTACATTTATAAATATTGTCTTTTTCTACAGCTTAACTAAGAGAAAATATTCACACACACACACACACACACACACACACACACACACACACACACTGCTTCGCTTTATCACGGCTCATCAGTGTGATTAGACAGCAGAGAATAAAGACGTTGGTTAGATCCTGTAACTAGATCCAAAGAGTTGTGAGTTCAATCCCAGGCCGAATCAGTTGAGTTAAAGGAAAAAAAAACTGAGACATTCGAAAGAGGCATGGCATGTGGAACTATAAAAAATCTACCATGGTGGAGGAAATAAGGTGTTCGGTTGGAAATTTTAATCACCAGAAGAAGGCCGGAAACGTTGTGAATATGTCAATGAAGATGAGGATAACAGCCCGAATAATGTAAATAATACAAGTAATCATAATACCTCATCTCAGAGATCCAATCATCTGAAAAGTGAATATGGGAATGAAGATGAGGATAATAGTCTGAATAATGTAAATCATAATACCTTACCCCAGAGATAAATAATGCAAGTAATCATAATACCTCAATATCAGAGATATAGACAGCGTATTTTTTCTTTCTTTCACGACAATGGGTCATTTATTGCCGAAATTTAATTTTCTTGAGAGTATTTCTTTTACAAAAAATATATTGCTGGTAACTTTTTAACTACGAAAATGTATTGCTGGTATATTTCCAATGAAAATGTACTGTTATACTGTCATGGTGTTTTGACCTCACAGAGCTTAACAGGTGCTACCCCCTCGTATCAGGTTGGATTTGGGAACAACAGCAATCTCCGTATCAGGAACCTTGCTGCCGGATGTAGTTTATCGTCATACCCAGGACGTACAACAGGTAGTAATGTAGGAATATACAGCTTAATGTTTTGTTTTGTTTTTATCAAATTTAAAGAGATACCGGGCAACGTTTGAAATATCTGGACTTGTTTCTTCTGAAATAATATGGTCAAATGAGGCTTATGGCCATATCACGTTGAAACACCGTTTCCCATACGATCACCGTAGTTAATCAAAGTTGAGCCTGCCAAGTACTTAGATGGTTGACCAGTTAGGAAACTTGGTGATGTAAGTTTCGATATTCGTCTGGTGTAATGGAAAAAGATACTGAAGTCGTTATATACACTTACGCGCCAATAGTCTTGGAAAATGTATAAATCCATGTCTTCTCGCCTGCTTAGTGTTAATTTGTTAGTCTTATATAAGCAATCCCTTATCCTCTCAAATAACAAAAAAAATGCTTATAAAATATTCAAATTTCGCCATTTCATCCATTTCAAGAAAAGTTGGTCCCCTGTGTCGCGCCAAAGAGTTTTTTCTCGCCCGAGTCCATCCTTAAAATCTATAAATCAACCATTCGCCCTTGCATGGAATACTGTTGCAATATATGGTCTGGTGACCCCACTCTTCGCCTTAAGGTCCTCGACAAAATCCAGACACGGATATGCAATGTGGTTGGTCCTGATTTGGCATCTCGTCTACAGTCTCTCTCTCACAGACCTGCTGTCTCCTTCCTCTGTCTTTTCTGCAAATATTTTCACGTTAACTGCTCCGACGAACTACTTTCACTAGTTCCCAGACCGCATGAATTTAAACGTGCTACTAGATTGGCACCACGGCCCCACCCTTTCTCTATCGAAATGGTTAAATGTCTCTTTTACTCCAATAGCTTCATGTCTTGCACCTCCCGTCTGTGGAATTGCCTTCCTATTACTTGTTTTCCTGATAGCTATAATCTCCAACTATTCAAATGTAATGTCAATTGACATCTCCAGATGCCTTGACCTATTCCCTGTCATTATCGTCATCCTTTCCTCCATCACGCCTCTTTACTCTCGCTCCAAGTCTGTAGCCCCTTGCGTACTAGTGGCATCCCGCCTTGCTTGGGGTGAAATACTTAAAAAGAAAATAACACATAAAAGCTGATATGCCGCTAAACAAAAACAACTCTCTCGTTATTATCGCTATTAAGCTCTCCACCCTGTCTGGGGGTTATTTCCTCCATCTTCTTCAAGAGATTCACAAATTCCTCTCCCCTACCAAGTAAGCCATCTATGTCGTCTGCTAAACGAAGTTTTGTCATGATCCGACCTATCATGTTAAATACAGTCTAATTTTCTTTTCTGGTTTTAATTAACCTGCACAGGATTTATAAGCCGTAGAATACGAACAAATCAAACAGCCAAAAGACAGATTCGAGATGAATTCGAACTCGTTTCGCCGGTTTAATAACCGTTCCGAAATCTAAAATCTCCTCTCTTACAAATATATCAAAATGGCGGAAGGTTATCTGTTGATAGACTGTCCCTAATAAAAAAATAAATAAGTCTAAAGCTGATAAAAAAGAAGACAAGAAAGAGAACCTTAAACGTATATTTCATTCAACCCACATACTCAAACTGTTTCATCTCCTTAACTACATGCTGGTTCAGTAAGAAACTGATCGATTTTACTAGTGCCAACAATTTCCAGCGAGTTTAAATGTATTTTGAGCCGAGTATATTTTCAATCAACGGTGTTACCTAAATCGGCGTCATCCAAATATGCTCTAGTCCTCATGACCTTGTTTTTTAACCTCGAAGTCTTTAATCTGCTTGCAGAAGTTTCTGGAAACAGGTGCGAGGAGGGGAGTGAAGTTAGAGTAACAGACGGATGGTTGATATTTCGTAGTCATTGCGATTTGTCGCCCAAAATCAAAGCGGTGAACCAAATAAAATATCTTCTCATGTTTTCCTTCAGGATAACTAAAATAACTCGTTTTAAAAAAGCCTAAGATTCGTTTGGCACAAGGACACAAAGAGCGTCTACTATAGGTTCGGACCTAATAATCAAACAATATATTATACAGACGCTGCCGGCACTTGAGTTTGAACATAGATTGCCAGTGAGCAAACACAGGCGATCCCATTATTGAATTAATTGGACTATGTGACCATAGAGGAAACGCACCAGTAGAATGTATCGTGGCAACTAACGATCGCTATTTCTGGCCTATCCTCTATTACTATACGTATCACCATTTTTAATGTATCCTCTATTGCAAACGGACCGGCATTTCTAGTCTATTCTCTATTACTATACGGAGAGCCATCTCTAGTCTATCCTCTATTACTATACGGATCACCATATCTATTCTATCCTATATTACTATACGGAGCGCTATTCTCTATTCTATTCCCTATACTATTTCTCTATTCAGATCATTATTCGGTGGTTTCTATTCGAGCGAGCATTATCGAGCAAATAGTATTAGTGCAAGTGCTATTCGAAGGTGTCTGACACTGCGATTGCAAGGTCTCTACTACAACGAGCATTACGAAAGTGACAACGAGTATTCGTTAACATTACAAAAGTGTTAATGAGTGTTAGTTGACATCATAAAACAATACGAGGTCGCTAACCATTAAGATATATGCCAAACGTAATATAGTTTGGCAAAAGGTCACTAAAAATGGGTACCTGTGAGAATTATCAAACCCTTGACATTTGAGCTGTGCGTGGGTGTTTACATTTTCGGTGTTGTTCACTAGGCTATCAAATTCATTTTTTTGAAAAAATATTCACATTGGTATGTTATATATATATATATATATATATATATATATATATATATATATATATATATATATATATGGGACGTGCTGATAATAAAATAAAGTAAAATAGATCAGCAGCTCCATTTTTCCTTCTGTAGCACAATACACACCAAATCCATCAAAATTATGAAGGTTACTCTGATTATTATGCATGAAATGCAAAATATTTTATTTTTTGTAGATTTACTACATAAAGGTCTCAAGCTGTCCACCCTGAGTAATTGCTATCGACGCCTGATAGATAGATAGATAGATAGATAGATAGATAGATCTGAACAGAAAGAGATAGATAGATAGATAGATAGATAGATAGATAGATAGATAGATAGATAGATCTGAACAGAAAGAGATAGATAGATAGATAGATAGATAGATAGATAGATAGATAGATAGATATTGCACAGGTCTAGATAGATATTGCACAGGTCTAGATAGATAGATAGATATTGCACAGGTCTAGATAGATAGATAGATAGATAGATAGATAGATAGATAGATAGATAGATAGATAGATAGATAGATAGATAGATATTGCACAGGTCTAGATAGATAGATATTGCACAGGTATAGATAGATAGATAGATAGATAGATAGATAGATAGATAGATAGATAGATAGATATTGCACAGGTCTAGATAGATAGATATTGCACAGGTCTAGATAGATATATAGATAGATAGATAGATAGATAGATAGATAGATAGATATTGCACAGGTCTAGATAGATAGATATTGCACAGGTCTAGATAGATAGATAGATAGATAGATAGATAGATAGATAGATAGATAGATGAATAGATATTGCACAGGTCTAGATAGATAGATATTGCACAGGTCTAGATAGATAGATAGATAGATAGATAGATAGATAGATAGATAGATAGATAGATAGATATTACACAGGTCTAGACAGATAGATATTGCACAGGTCTAGATAGATAGATAGATAGATAGATAGATAGATAGATAGATAGATAGATAGATAGATAGATATTGCACAGGTCTAGATAGATAGATATTGCACAGGTCTAGATAGATAGATAGATAGATAGATATTGCACAGGTCTAGATAGATGAATAGATAGATAGATAGATAGATAGATCGATAGATAGATAGATAGATAGATATTGCACAGGTCTAGATAGATAGATATTGCACAGGTCTAGATAGATAGATAGATAGATAGATATTGCACAGGTCTAGATAGATAGATATTGCACAGGTCTAGATAGATAGATAGATAGATAGATAGATAGATAGATAGATAGATAGATAGATAGATAAGTAATGGGTTCAGATTTATTACTTCAAACATTAATATAGGTGATATTCGTATATGAAACTGTGTTTATTACACCTATCGGGCTGCGGACTCAAGAAATTTCATTAAAGAAAGTGTGATTCCGGCTGGGATCGAACCTGAGTTCAACTATAGAGAAAATCCACTGTTTAAATAGGTGAGCGCTTCCCGATAGTCCACTAAGAGGGGTACATTTAGACACATTTTCATGGGCATTTACAAAAAAATCACAACTATCCATTGCATTATTTTTTTGTCTGAGGAATTCAGTCCTGATGATGATCGTGGATGACACTGAAAGTACTTGGAAAAATAAAAGAAATGAAAACATTAAGGTGCCTTCCTTAATGAATTTAATATTATCATTACGAAGTTGATCCGAGAATTCGAGAGGATTAAAATAAAAATAAATAGATATAATATGTCCAGATTATTCAACGAAACATGATTGAATGAAGATATGCTGCATATACATATATATATATGTGTGTGTGTGTGTGTGCCTTTCTGCATGAGTGTGTGTGTGTGTTTGTGCGTGAGTGTGTGTGTATCTATCTATCTGTATATATATATATATATATATATATATATATATATATATATATATATATACATATGTACTGAGTATAAATTTTGGCCAAGTAACCAGATTTGACATTTAGCAATTTTGATAAACCTTTGAGTTGATGAGTAAGGGAACAGGTTAAAATCATATTGTTTCAGACTCACTATGTCTTCCCAACTGAGCAATGGTGAGAGGAAAAATAGCATTCAGGCCTTCAGTAACGGTACCAACATTCATACTCTGGCTTTCATCTTCTAAGTTCTTTCAAGAACCATCAAGAAAAAGGTGAATAAGTTTAAAACGAGGGGACTGTAGAGAGAAAAACTGAATCAGAAAGTCACAATAGGAATAGGGATTATCGTTTCAGCTTAGCTCTAAATACATTCTTATTGTTCAAAGTAGAGTCCTATAGTATTATAAAAATTTCGGAGAATTCTACTAAGATATCTTTAATCATTTCTAAGGTACAACGGATCAAAGATTAATCTAACAATTGCACAAGTTTACTGTTTACACTCGGCAGAGAAATAAATTAACCAACCTATGATGGCGTATGCTGAAGAGACATACCGGAAGAAGAAAGTTCAATGCAATTGTCGGTCACTGTTCA